TCAGCCTTAACCAAGAGGTTTTAGGGAGAGATGGCGATGAGAACCGGGGGCCCTGCCATGTCTCAGCACAGGGGTCCTCAAACTACGGCCCGTGGGCCACATGCAAATACAAATATTGTATTTGTTCCCGTTTTGTTTGTTTACTTCAAAATAAGATATGTGCAGTGTGCATAGGAATTGGTTCATAGTTGTTTTTTTTTAAACTATAGTCCGGCCCTCCAACGGTCTGAGGGACAGTGAACTGCCCCGTTTAAAAAGTTTGAGGGCCCCTGTCTCAGCACATGAGACCATTACTGGCAGACAAGTGCTTGGGGGCCATTATTAATGGATGGTTGGATGATGGATGGAGGAATTAATGGATGGATGGACAGAAAGACAGTGGTCTCAGAGATCGGAGGCTTCATAAAGAGACTGAATCGTGTCTTGATGTGTGGAGACACAGGGAAAGCGTTCTCTCCGTGGGAACACTGTGAGTCAGGAATGACCCGGTGTCCTGGCCCAGGGAAGAAGCCCACTGGCTGGACCGTGGGGAACTGTGGGGAAAGAACCCTCAGAGTCCCTAGGATGAGGCCAGGAGAGGTCAAGCAGATCAAGCAAGTTCAGGATCCTCCAGCTGCACCACACAGCTGCCTGGAGGGACACATCAGCACTAGGGATTCCCGGTGACCAGGCCAGCCTCAGGGGGGGATCACACGCTAGGTGACTCCAAAGCGCAGGGGGTACCTGCCTCGGAAGGGAGCCGGGCCGCCCACCTGCCCCATCCCCTGCTGCAGCCTGTGCCCATCGTACCCAGCAGGTTCCTGCTCAGGACCGGCCCCCAGGGGACAGGCCCCAGGTGTTGGCCCGGCAGGTTTTGGTCCGATCTTCAGTCGCCGTGGTACGTCTTCAGCAGCGGGACCCAGCTCACCGTCCTGGGTAAGCGGCTCTCATCACCTTTTCCCTGGGTCCCACCCTCTGCTGTCCCACCCTCTGAGAGGGAAACACTCCTCTCTCTGTAGGCTGCTTCCCCTCTGCCCTCCGGCGGTCAGAACTGTCCCCGGGCCCTGGCCTGTGTGGCTCAGTTGTTTGGGCGTCAGCGTCCTGGGCACCGAAAGGTTGCTGGCTTGACTCCTGGTCAGGGGGCATTTCGATGTTTCTCTTTCTCTCCCTCTCCCTTCCTCTCGCACCCCCACCACCCCCAAAAAATACATTAAAAATATAGGAAAAAATAGCCGATCCCCGCCTCTCTCTATAAGGTCTGGGGGAGACGGGTTGGTCTCAGGGTAACCAGCAGGGAGGGCCCAACAGCAGGAGTAGCCACGTCCAGAGTCTGGCTGCTTGAAGCAGCTGGGTCCCGGGGGCTGAGGCTGGGGTTTGGCCTAGGAATGGGGCTCCTGTCTCTCTTCCAGGACAGACACCCACAAGGGGACCAGGCAGTCCGGAGGCCCTGGGGTCTGGGCTGAGGGCTCGATGCCCATCCCCGTGGGGAGAGCCAGCCGTCTGGGGACAGGGCTGAGGCTGTGACCACAACCTCCAGGGGCACAGGGTCAGCCCGAGGGAGGCCTGTGGAAGGCGGAGCTAAAGCTCTCCGGGCTGTGAGGACATGGGGAGGCAGACACAGGTGCGGCAGGTACGGTGGCCAGCGGCTCAGCCTCCCAGGACAGCGGTCAGAGGAGCAGGTTCTGTGAGGCACAGACTCACCTGTCCCTGGAGCCCATAATCTCTGTCCAAGGTTCGGCCACCCACCTTCCTCTAGGGAGCATTAGACTCAGAGATGACAACGCAGGGAGTGGACGGGGGGCTCAGAGCTGCAAACTGCCCCATGAAGTCAGTCGTCAGAGGTCCTGGGGTGGCGTGGGGCCACAGTGCCCATCATCAGGGGGAGCAGCGCCAAAGATGCAGCCGAGGTGCAGGGTGCTGGGTCAGGGCACAAGGGGCGGGAGGCAGGCAGAGCCTGAGAGGCCCCCGGGCTTCGGCCTCAGCCCTCATTGGAGAGCTGAGGCCGGGCTGGGGCCACGCTGGGTGCCCAAGGGAGATGGGGGCACCAGGCCCCTCTGTGTGCGGGGCTCAGGCTTGGGCCTCCCCACACACCATCAGGCCGGTTGGGGGAGCCCGGATCGCAGAGGCCTGGGGCTCCAGAAGGATGAGTGGGGTGGGGCCTGATGCTGGGCTGAGGGCTCGGGAGTCCGGAGCCAGACCCCACACTCAGACTCGAGACTGGGGGGAGGGAGGTCAGCCTGCCCCGATTACACTCGGGGAAACTGAGGCTACAGGTGGAGGGGCTTGACCAGATCACCAGGAGGTGACTTGGAAGGGCTTCTGGACGGGTGGGGGCTGCCTGCTGTCCGGGGGCTGAGAGAAAGGAGAAGACAAAGAAGGAAGGAGGGTCCCCTGGGGGAACAAACATGGCCACAATGGACGGGTCACAGAGGATGCAGATTAGCAGGGGGCTGCACCAACACCCGCTCCCCCTCTGCGTCTCACACCCCTTCTCTGTCCACATAGGTCAGCCCGCGTCCGCACCCTCGGTCACTCTGTTCCCGCCCTCCCCTGCGGAGCTCCACACCAACAAGGCCACGCTGGTGTGTCTCATCAGCGACTTCTACCCGGGCAGCGTGATGGTGGCCTGGAAGGCAAATGGCAACCCTGTCAGCCAGGGCGTGGAGACCACCAAGCCCTGGAGACAGAGCAACAACAAGTATGCTGCCAGCAGCTACCTGAGCCTGACGCCCGACAAGTGGAAATCCGGCGGCAGCTACAGCTGCCAGGTCACGCACGAGGGGGGCACCGTGGAGAAGACCGTGGTCCCCGCGGAGTGTTCCTAGGGCCCTGAGCCCCCCACCCTCGGGGGCTGGAGTCTTGGCACCTCTGGGAGGGTCTTTCCTTCCACCTGAGTCATCCCCAGCCCCAGCCCGGCTCCCTGAACCCAATCAATCCTCAAAACGTTCTTGTCAATCAGAACCCATGCTCTCTGCTCATTCTTTTCTAGTCTCGTATTTAACCTGTGGCTTCCCCTGCTTCTCGGGGTGGGTGGGAGAATCCTTTGTGCCCAGCAGGAGTTTCCTGGGGCACCTCCCAGGAACCTGACCAGGATACAAGGAGTCCGGTCACCATTCAGTCCCTCTGCCCTCTCCTTCCCAGTTCCTCCTCCAGCCCATTATGTCCCTCCCTCCTGGTCGGACGGACGGAGCTGGCCATGGCCGGTGACCACCAGATAAGCTCTCACTCCCTGCCCTGGTGCAGATCCCCTCTGTTCCCGGCCCTTGCCCCCTGGGATGCCCTGCTCCCTCCTGCCCAGCTCAGCTCCTGCCCACCCTCGCCCCCTCCCTTTAACCCCGTCAGGCCGGACCCCGCCCCCCAAGGGGTCCAGGACACTCCAGCAGAATCAGTCTTTGTTTTTTGGTAATCCTCACCTGAGGGTATTTTTCCTATTGATTTTTAGAGAGAGAGAGGGAAGGAGAGAAAGATCAATGTGAGAGAGACACACCAATTTCACACCCACCTTGGTTTCTGGGTTATCAGATCCTAAAGATGGGGTTCTCCCATAAGAAAAGGGGTTCTCTCTCCCCACCCCAGTAAATCGAGGCATCGGCATTCTAGTAAATATATCCATTTTGTGTGATGCTTGCGAATGTCCAATTATCCCCAAGAGCTGGGCAACTCTGAACAGATTGAGGCAATTTGGTTTTCACCTTGGCCCGAGATGACTAAACCCACCTGCCACCTCTGATAAACCCCGGCAGCAACTGGCTGGGGCTCCAGCGTGGCATCCAGACATGTTCTTCCCCACGACTGCCGGGGGGATCTGACACTACGTCGCACTTTTGGTAAGTCACTGGCCTCAGTTTCCCCACTGTAACAGGAGTGGCCATAAGGGGCCATCTTCTGAGCCTTTGCAGTTGTGCCCTTCCCCCACCACAGAAGGGGGTTAAGGGAGGAAGGGGAAGGTTGAGGAGGAGCCAAGCTGGGACAGACAGGTGGTGGGCATGGGGGTTGAGACCAGGGTCCCCCACCTCTCTTCAAATGACTGTGGGTTCACTCTGGGAGGGTGGGATGCATCTGTGATGTCTAATTCTTTGCTACATCTGATAGGATTCTCTAAAATGTAAAGCACAATGTAATGTTTTATGTTCAAAGAACTTGAGGAGTAAGAACAGAAAATCAAATATTCAAAATACTAATAGCGGAGTCATCATCTGTGCCCGCTGTTTGCCATACAGGTTTGTTTTCCTTAGTCCTCTGGGCTCCACGAGGCTATGAGGTGGCATCATTCCCCCACATTGCAGCCAAGGACACTGAAAATAGAGCCCGTGACTTGAAGAGTGGGCTTAAGACAGAGTCCGGCACCGATGAAGGCAAGGAGCAGGTACGCCCAATGGCAGACTTCTAGTCTGCCCCAAAATGCTACTCCACACAGGAATGGGCATGGCTTCTGTGGGTTAAAGGAATGAACAGATACTAAAATGTTAAAATGCAAATTTCTCCCTTACTCAAAACAATAATGTTAATGACAGAACTTCTTACAAGAAGGAAAAGAATTACAGAAAGAATCAGAAAATCAAATCCAAGAATTTGGTGTTTATAAGTTACAGATATATAGCAAAATATATACACACATTTAAAAATTAAAATGCTGAGCTAAATAAACTCCCATGCAAATGCAAATGCAAGAAAAGCAAAGGAATTATAATATTTGGAAAAGAGAAGTTTAAGCTAGAAGCATGAAGAGGCAAATAGGGCACTAAAAGGCACAGTTTTTCAATATATCACTATTAAGTGTATATATATATGTGTATGTATATATATATATGTATGTGTATGTATATATATATATATATATCCCAAACACCATGGTACTTACTTATTGACAACTTATACCCTGTCTATTCCTCCAAAAAGAGTTGAGATAATTGCATGACTAACATACCAACACACATAAAAAAGGAACAGAAACTACATAAAGAAAAAAACACAAAATCAGACTACAATTAGATCAGGTAAATGAGTGTTCTTAACTATTTTGGGGCCACAGAGCCCTTCCAAAATAAGGAGAATGCTACAGACCCGGAACAATTCACTCATACGCACGTCCACACAGCTTTGTTCAGTCCCTAGGGGTCCACACCTTTTAAAACCCTGTGTGCCAAAAGACCCCTACACAGTCCATGGACCCCAGGTTCAGAACTCTGAAGTAAACAAAATTAGAGAAAATATTAATTTGTATAAAATAATTTAAAAACTGAGCTAACAAATAGAACTGATGGAGTAAAAACACATTTCTTACGAGTACACAAATGCTTTATAAAAACTGATAATATATTCAGACCCAAAGAAATTCTATGGACACTTTGAAATGTGGAAACCACAATAAAGTAAGAAATAAAAATAATGACTTAAGCATTCATCACTTGGAAATATAAAAAAGTAATAATAACACTTGGGCCAAAAGGAAAGTAATAATATAATAACAAGAAATACCACACGTTAAACTTACGGAGTATAGAAAAAGCTTGAACTATTAAAAAAAATCAGACTGAATTACCTACATTTACTAGAAATAGTAAAAATATGATTAACTAATGCCCTGGCCTGTGTGGCTCCGTTGGTTGGAGCACCATCCCATGCACCAAAAGGCTGCAGGTTCGATTTGGATCCCAGTCAGGGCACAGAGCCAGGTTGGGGGTTCCATCCACGGTCAGGGCACGTGCAGAAGGCAGCCGATCGACGTTCCTCTCCCTTCCTCTCTAAAATCAATAAAAATATAGATATACACGCTTAACTAATAATTAATCTTAGAAGCATAAAGTATTAAGCTAAAAACAAACAAACAACCCACCAGAATACATATACTTTGACACAACAATTCATCTAGTAAACAAAAACACAAGTGGGAGCTATACAACACTCAACCTCTGCCGTGAGGGAAAAAACACAAGACAACAAAAACAACTAAATTCAAGGACGATTAAACCGTTACCAGGGCAATCCCTTATAACCTTACACTGAGACCCAAAATAAAATGGAAGGAATTTAAATACACAAACTATGAAATACATTGAATAGAGAGCTAGTTTTACTTACGCTTCCAAAAATGAAAAGTACCTGCTCTTAACCATGGTTATTTGAGTATCTGTCAACCCTTCAGAAAGGGTTTTTAATCCTGTTACATAAATTGTCAAAAGGAGAAAGGAGACGGGCTGCAGAGGGTACAGGGGGAGAAAGTGCATATTTCAAAACGTGAGAACAGTATAAAATGAGTTGAGAGAGGCTGGGAGTGAGCTGAGGACAGAGGCTGGCATGAGCTCCATGTGGCTTGTTTAGAGGGGGTGAAGCAGATTGGCTGAAATGGGGGTTTATGTGCAGAAATACCCCCAAAGGTTGGTTTTAAGGAGAGTGGTGACATGTGCAAAGTGATGCTTTAAAAAAATTAATTTGGTTGGGGTGCACAGGGTGTGGAGGGAGACACTGAGGGTGGGAAGGAAACTGATGACTGCCAGAATGAGGGGGTGCAGGAGGTAGACCTGGTGGGAGTTGGTGGCTGCTGTCACCCGCACCGAGCAGGTGTGTCAGCATTCTCTCCTCATTCCTGGTCCTGACAACGATGCCCAGCACCACCTGACCAGTCCAGCTGTGGTACAGCAGGTGCTGGGGGAGCCTGGGGTGCTGGTTAAATGTTTCACATAGCAAAGAGCGGGACTTGACAGAAGTGATCTTCCCAGACCATCAGACCAATCCTTTTAAAATCTCTGGCTACCAAGCCCCACTTACTCAGTAACAACTATGGCTCTCCCATTTTTTTTTGGTTTTTTTTTGTTAATCCTCACCCGAGAATATTTTTCCCCATTGATTTTTAGAGAGTGTGGAAGGGAGGGTGAGCGACACAGAGAGGGAAACATCGACGTGAGAGAGACACATGGATCGGTCGCCTCCTGCATGCACCCTGACTGGGGCCAGGGATTGAGCCTACAGTGGAGATATGTGCCCTTGACCAGAACGGAACCTGTGATCTGCTAGTCCAAGGACTGACTCTCTAACCACTGAGAAAACTAGCCAGGGCGGCTCTCCCATTTTATTCATCAAAACTCACACATCTGCCAAGCTGAGCTTCTGATTGGCTGAAATAACCAGCTTTACCATGATAGGTTCATGGGATTCCAGCCATAAATGTTTGAAAAACTTCAAAATAGCTCAGACCGCCTCCTGGCACACTAGCTGAGAATCCTGAGGGGAATGCCAGTACTAGATCCCCATGGGCACACGAAGGCCTGAGGGCCTGGGACAATGACCAACTAGCCAGACCTGTCAGTGTGTGGCTCCTGGGCCACCTTCAAGCTCTGCTCATTCAGGGCAAGCAGGCCTGTCATTTGGGAGATGTGGGGTGGCATGGGTGCCTAGCACAGGGCTCACGGCCTGGATGCATGCTGGGACATTATAACCACCTGGGAGCTTTAAAAACACGCCACTGAGCCCCACCTCTGGGGATGCCCACTGAACTGGTCCCCAATGAACACCAGTTGGCAGGGGCAAGAACAGAGAGAAGTACAGGGACATGGACTGAACACCACAGGGAGGCTCAGGATGGCTTCCAGGAAATATCTGTAAGATAAACACAGGGCACCCCAGCCCAGGGTACAAGCCTGAGGGAGTATGGGGAAGCCTCTTTTAATGAGGGCCTGCTGCAAGCTCTGCCACTTCAGGAAGCAGATGGGGATGTTCTCCAGGTTTCAGGGACAGTGTTTCCGGGGGAGGGGGAGGGAGAGCAGGGCAGAGGTCTCTCTGGGTATCCACACTCAATCCCTAGTTGTCAAAGCACTTTCATATGTGCTCTCATTCTGAACGGGAGGCTTGCACCAATCCTCAAAGTGTGGGGCCAGATCCCACTATCGCCATGTCACGGGTAGGAAAACTGAGTCTTGGGGCTTCCTCCAGGACACATAGGTAGGAGGGATGGACTTGAGACTTGCACCCAGATCTCTGATTGAATCACCCTGCTTCCAACATCCCCTGCCCCGCCTGAGCCTGCACTGGAAGGTGGAGAGGCTGCATAGCTGCCAGACCAGAAAGGGGCCCTGCTGGTGTCTAAGGCACGCTGTGGTTTTAGGAGCCCTGCGTCTGGTGGAGGGCCTGCTCCTGGAGGGCACTGGTGCCGTGGGCCTGGGCTGAGTCAGAGCTGGGCATCAAATGCCCTCTGGCCTGCAGGACCAAACCTCTACTCTGCTTGAAAGAGACCCCCCTCACTCTAACACAGAATAGGATTAAGGGACCACACCAGGGACTTGCACCCTCCCTCCCAGTCCCGAACCTAATCCTCCCAGACACTCCCTTTGTTCTGTAACCTGTTCGGGTTGCACCTACAAGTACCCAAACCAGGCAGAAGATTCCATTTTGTGGCTGAGGTATCTACTTTTTGGATTCATTTTTCTTCAGCTAATTTGGACTGTGAGAATGGTTACTTCTACTGAAAGTGCCAAACTGTAGCCTGATGTTAGAGTTCTCACCTGACCTTCTCATGGGTTTAACTCAACTTTCTCCCTCTTACAGTCATTTCTCTTCTGTATTCTGGAATAGAGGGCAGAACTGAACCTCACAGGCTTGGAAGTCAAATGTGAGAATGAGAAAATCGAAGGCCCACTCTCTTTTCAGGTGGCAGGGGGGAGACTCTCCCATACTCACAGCATTCTGGCAGCCTTTCTCTCCCCCCATCCTCCCCTGTGCTCAGAAAACCTGATCACCTGGCCAAGCGGGGCCCGTGCTGCTGGTGTAGTGCTCAGGAGCACCGAGGTCCACCTGTTATGGGGCCGGTGGATGGAGCTCTGCAGTAAAGTGAGTGGGCGTAGGCTCCATCTGGGAAAGGCTTTCAAGCTTTGGTGTGAGCTCCTCCTTCTAGAGCTTCTCCCCAGCATGGATTTTCTGATGCCGAATAAGGTGCGAGCTCCCCCTGAAGGACTTGCCGCATTTGTTACACTCGTAGGGTTTCTCTCTGGTGTGGGTTTTATAATGTTCGATAAGGGCCGACCTGTGCCGGAAGGCTTTGCCACACTCATTGCACGCGTAGGGTTTCTTCCCGGTGTGGATTCTCTGGTGCTGAATCAGCGCGGAGCTGTGGCAGAAGGCCTTCCCGCACTGGCCGCACTCATAAGGCTTCTCCCCAGTGTGAATCCGCTGGTGCTCAATGAGGGAGGAACTCTGGCTGAAGGCTTTCCCACACTTATGGCATTTGTAGGGTTTCTCGCCGGTGTGGGTCTTCCGATGCTCAATGAGGTTGGAGCTCTGGCTGAAGGCCTTCCCACACTCTTCGCATTTGTACGGTTTCTTCCCAGTGTGAATCCTCTGGTGCCGAATGAGGTGGGACCTGTGACAGAAGGCCTTTCCGCAGAGATCGCATTGGTGAGGTTTCTTTAGGGTGTGGATTTTCCGATGCTGGCTCAGGCCTGAACTCTGGTTGAAGGATTTCCCACATTCCTTACACTGATAAGGTTTTTCTCCAGTATGAATTCTCTCATGTTTTCTCAGACTTGAGCTCCGACTGAAGTCTTTCCCGCATTCCCTACATTCATAGGGTCTCTTCCCAGTGTGGGTTTTCTGATGTTGTGTGAGGGCTGAGCTCTGGCGAAAGGCTTTTCCACATTCCGGGCATTCGTAGGGCTTCTCCCCGGTGTGGATTATCTGATGTCGGAGAAGGTGCGAGCTCTGGCTGAAGGCCTTCCCACACTCACAGCACTCGTAGGGCTTCTCCCCGGTGTGGATCACCAGGTGCCTGAGAAGGTGCGAGCTCTGGCTGAAGGCCTTCCCACATTCCCGACACGCATAGGGTTTGGGTGGTTGTGCAGTTCTGTGAGGCTCTTTAGGGCCCGAGTCCCCCCTGCCCACTCGCTCATAGTCGGGTTTGCTGGGTTCTTCTCCAGCATGGATTAACTGACACATACTAAGGTCTGATTTCTGGAGGAAGGTTTGGCCAAATATGTCATCATCCTGGGGTTTGTTGATTTGGGGGATACTCTGGTGCTGAACAGGGCTTGAGCACAGACTGAAATTCCCCTCGTAATCATCATGTTCCTCGTTTGGCTCCCCAAGAGGGATCTCCTTATAGATAACGGCCATTTGCTCTAAACCTCTTTCCTGAAGAAATGCGTCCCCTAGGTCCTCCTCTGGGAAAAGTTCTTGCTGCATCTCTAACCCATCTTCAAACACAAAGGTCTCACCAAGCTTGGATGCCGGGGGAACCTCCATTGTGGATCTAGTATCAGCCCCAATGACTGTATTTCTTGAAAGATGTTCTTCTTTGGGACACACTTACTGTTCTTACAATCTAAAAAGAAAAGGGACATTGTCAAGCAGACAAGTCAAGCACCTAGCATGTGCCTTCTTCCTCTGCCAGAATCAATGCTGGAGATAACAAAATATGTGTAAGATACAATCTTGGCCCTGGCCAGTGTGCTCAGTGGTTAGAGTGACAGCGCATACATTGAAGGATCTTGGGTTGGATTCCAGGTCAAGGGCACATACCTGGGTTGCAGGCTTGATCCCCAACCAGTTGGGGCACTTGTAGGAGGTAACCAACCAATGTGTCTCTCTCACATCTCTCTCTCTCTCTCTCTCTCTCTCTCGCTCTCGCTCTCGCTCTCACTCTCTCCCCTCCCCCCAAAAAATCAATGAAAACATATCCTCAGGTGAGGATTAACAAAACAAAACAAAACGTCACAATCTTGCCCTTTGCTTTGATCCCCGTTGGGTTAGACAGAAGTTTGATTTGTCAGAAACAACTGCAAACAAGACAGAGAAATTAGAGAATCAAACACCACACCATAGTGTCTAGACCAGTGATGGTGAACCTTTTGAGCTCGGCGTGTCAGCATTCTGAAAAACCCTAACTTAACTCTGGTGCCGTGTCACATATAGAAATTTTTTGATATTTGCAACCATAGTAAAACAAAGACTTATATTGTTGGTATTTATTTTATATAGTTAAATGCCACCTAACAAAGAAAAATCAACCAAAAAAATGAGTTCGCGTGTCATAGGTTCGCCATCACTGGTCTAGACTCTCTGAGGACGTTCAGAAAGGTGGGTTAGATCAGGAAGTGGAGCCCATGGAAAAGGCACAATACTCCACCTGCTGGAGGGTGTTGGGAATGGGGTTTTGTTGGGAAAGAGCGTGCACTTTCTTCCTTGTGGTGCCCCAGCCACAACTCCGGGAGTCAGCCTCCACCTTCTTCCTCTCTCACCTGCATGGCCTGTCTTCTGTTTCCTGAGGCTTTATTGAAGGGGTCTGCCTCTGCCTCTCTGTCTTTGCTGCGATTCCGGAGCTCAGGCCGCAGTGCAAATCCCCGAGATCATTTCAACACTCCCCTCCCAAATGGCTGCCTGTCTCCAACTTCTGTTCCTTCCGCGGGTCCATTCCCTGCATTGACACCAGTGTGAGATGCCCCAATACAGGCCCGATGGTGTCATTTCTCTTCTCAGGAGCCTGTGACAGCTCAGCTCACTCACCAGGCCTTCGTGCATGGCCCTTCCAGCCCATCTCCTGGCCCTCCTTCCACACACCCCTAACCTTCCATTTCATCTGTGCTGCTGCAGCTTCTGCCTGCCAGGTCCCTCCCCTTTCTCAGACTGTCACTGGCTCATCCTTCCAGGCTCAGTCCAGACGTCCCCTCTTCTCTCACCCTCAGACTGACTACCTCAGGCACGCCCCTCCGTGACCCACGGAGCTTGGTGCATGCACCACCCTGGATGGCACACATGGGTTGACAGGACTCTCCCCACCACTACCTGTGAGTTCCTTCAGGGCAAGTCCTGGGCTCCTTCATTTTGGAACCCTGAGCCCCAGCACAACAGGACAATCTCTACACCTACATTTGTTGAATTATACACAACCGAATGGAGGAAAAGCCATCTGGTTTTGTGCTAGAACTGATTGTCACACTTGAACTCTTTTTTTTTTAATATATTTTATTGATTTTTGACAGAGAGAAAGGGAGAGGGATAGAGAGTTAGAAACATCGATGAGAAACATCGATCAGCTGCCTCCTGCACACTCCCTACTGGGGATGTGCCTGCAACCAAGGTACATGCCCTTGACCGGAATCGAACCTAGGACCCTTGAGTCCGCAGGCCGACACTCTATCCACTGAGCCAAACCAGTTAGGGCTCACTTGAACTCTTTATAAAAAAAAAAATCAATTCTCTGGAAGATATAAACAAATAAACAGACAAAAGCATGACTGCTCCAGTTGGAGGAGGGTGTTTCTGCAGGAACAAAGAAGGAAACTGGAACACACGCACACCCCCCCTTAGCCCCTCAGCCCCTGTGGTGGCCCGGGGGAGCCTCTCAGGACCCCATTCAGAAACTTCTGTGCAGCTAAAGGGAAACTCCCAGCTACCATAAGGATAACAGCTCATGTGTACTGAGTGTCTGCTCTGTGCTAGGCACTACTAGACCTTTACAAGTGTTTCTCACTTAATCTTCACAACTCTATACACAGGTACTACTATTACTATCCTTACCTTGAAGCTTAGAGAGTAACAGAATCAAAAATATACATATTAGTCAGAATAGCCATGAAGGAGCCCATTTCTATTTGGAAATATCTTCTTGATGAATTTCAGCCACTTTAATGAATTGTCTTTGCTCATTTCACCCCCTCTTACCCTCCTCTTCAGATACCATAATCTCCAACCCTTCCAGTTCTCTCACTCAACCTCACCGAGCCTAATAGCCCCCTATCTTTTATTTTTTAATTTTTATTGATTTCAGAGAGGAATGGCGAGAGAGAGAGAGAAACGTCAATGATGAGAATCACAGATTGGCTGCGTCTTGCATGCCCCCTACTGGAGATCGAGCCTGCAACCCAGGCATGTGCCCTTGACCAGAATCAAACCCAGGACCCTTCGGTCTGCAGGCCAATGCTCTATCCACTGAGTCAAACCGGCCAGGGCTAATATTTCCCCATTTTCACTTCGTTCTCCTCTTCTAGTTCTGCCCACTCCCTTCTAGCTTAGATCCCCTCCTTCTATAGTGGGTCTAACTATAGACGTCACTTCAGCTAACTCTCTGACCAGCACCACATTCCTCATTTCCTTGCCCTGCTGCAACCGGCCACTAACTCCTCCTCTGCCAATTCCTCATAAAATGTTAAATGCTGCCAAGGAAAATCATACGACTGCGTATGGCAGCGAGACAGATTTCATGTTTCCAATTTCAGCTGGGACCTCAGCACGCGGCTCCAGCAGCCAATGACCTCCTTGCTGCCAGTCTTCTCTTCTCCGTGCCCTTCCCCACCCCTTCTGGCACTGTCACCAATACCTCCTTCTCAAAACCCTTCATTTGAGAGGATGCAAATTGGCAGCCTGGGGATCCTGCCACAGACACGTTTTGTCTGGCTCTCAAACGAGCTGGGCTTTTCCTTTTTGTGTGACTTAGCCGCCAACATGGAAAACTCAGTGGTTCTCTGGCCTTCTCTTCAAAAACTAAAGATGTGACAATATGGGCTCATCCCTTCACTAAGCCCACCTTGCCTACCGGGACACCTCAAGGCTTTGAGCTGGCTGGACAAATCACCCCACTCCCACATCCTGCCTTATTCCCTTGGTTACTGAAAGATCCCCCCCCCCCCAATTTTTATTGCCTGGGATGCCTCCTTCTGCGTATTGCAACTCTTCTTCCACCCACCTGCTAAATCCTGGTGTTCCCAAGGTTTCCTCTTAGCAATTTTCCATTCCCGCTCTGTCCCACCTACACCTGAAGCAGTGGTTCTCAACCTTCTGGCCCTTTAAATACAGTTCCTCATGTTGTGACCCAACCATAAAATTATTTTTGTGGCCACTTCATAACTTTAATTTTGCTACTGTTATGAATCGTAATGTA